GGAAGAGGGGAGATGAGTGAGGGGGAAGGAAGGGGAGACATGGGGTGGGAGACAGTGGAAGGGAGGGGGGAGGTTGAGCAGGAAGGAGAGGGGGTGAGGATGGATGAGGAAAGGAGAGTAGGTGGAGTGATGAAGGAATCATGTCGAGTGGGGATGAGCGAGGTAGGATGAGGGGGCTGCACTCCGGGGCCCTGGTGGTGCTGCCCTCTCAGATCTGAGGCTCTCACGGCCCCACCTCCAGACTCGGAGGCCTGGGCTCAGGTGGCTGTGTTCTCCCTCCTCTCTGTCCTCCCCCAGGCCTGCCTGTGCCGACATGGAGGCAGAGAGGGTAGTCACCAGCCCTGCCTGGCCCCACTGATGCTGTGGTGTAGGCTTGGCCCCTCAGAGGGCGGGCAGGGCTTCTGCTCAGGTGCTGGTTCGTTACTGCAGCCCCTCCTCCCGTTGTTCTGGGGTCAGGTGTGAGGGTGAGGAAGTGGGCCCTGGGGCCAGATGTCAACCTTGGAAGGCTACTTAGTGCATCTGTGCCTCACTTCCTCCTTGGGAAAACGAGTGCAGACAGCACAGTGTGTCTCCATGGGGAGTTGGAGGGTTAGTTAAGGTAACACACATGACGTACTTCTGAGCTTGCTGTGCAATCAGTGCCCACGAGTGTAGCCATTGTGGCGCGTGTTCATGGATGTCTGGGTGTGCGGGTGCATTTGTGCGAGTCTAGTTGTGAGTTGTGTGTCTAACTGTATGCAATCCATGAATGAAACTCCCTCTGTGGTTGTGTCTGTGTGCCTACTTCTGTGCCATCTCTGGACACATGTGATGCTGTATGCCACTGTACCTCTGACTCCATGCCCATGGAGGCCTGTGTGGACATGACACAGTGGATGCAGCGTGTGGCTGCTAACCCGCTGACACCGTGTCTGCCCGTGTGTGCACGCATCTGTGATGATGGCACTTGCAGACACCCCCGCTTATCCTCCCTCCCGTGGAAACGTCATAACCCTAGGTGTCCCTCATTTCCTCACCCTGAGGGAACCGGAACTGTGGGCACGGGCGGGGGTGGGTGCCAGTGAGGAGGTGTTCAGACAACAGTACATGTTCTCTCCCAGACTGTGGGGGGGGAGGGGGGAGCACCCTCTCCACATCCTGAAAGCTCCAGGGGACGTGCACCCCCTAGCCTTTTCTCAGTTCCCTGTCTTGTCGCCATGGCAGCCGTTACCAGGGGCTCCCACGGTTGCTAAGATCTGGGTGTGGGAGGCTGCCAGGCCCTGTTGCCAGCAGAAACAGAGAATCTTGGGGGAAAGAAGACCACCCCCACAGCTGTTGGCTCTCTGTAGCCATGGCACTGGCCCTTGTGCTGCTCTTGTCCCCAAATGGTACCTGTGATTCGTATGTGGTAGTACTAGGGTTGGGGGTCGGGGGCTTTCACAGAAGCTGGAGCCAGAATGCTGGGGTCCACCTTTGGAGAAGAGGCCCTCGCTCCTGTCTCTGTGGTTGGGAGACCCTTGGAGATGGGTGAGCCCCTCATCCTGCCTCCCTTCCCTCATACCTCTCCCCTGGGCAGTATCCTGCTGGTGTTCACCAGTGGCCGACGGTCTCACCTGGGTGTGGAAATGCCACACTGGTCCTTCACCCTGGATGCAGACTGACGCCTTCCTGTGGTCGGACTCTGACCATCTCACCTGGGTCCGTCCTTGATGCTGACATGGAGGCCGGACTTTGGTCCCGTACTGAGTCCCAATTTTGGCCTCAGGCTGAGTTACTGATCTGGTGATAGTTGGACCAGGCAGTTCCCCAAACACAGTCTCAGCTCCGCCCTCTTCCTAGACATGGATGAGCTTTGATTTAGTACCCAATCCCCTTCTGATCCTGTCCACCGAGCGCTGGTCAGGGACGTAACTCCCTGGGCACTTGCGCTGCCGCCTCCTCTGTGTTCTGAACCTGTCCTGACTGGTAGAACCGTATGGCTTCAGAGGGGTTGATTCTCGCCTTGGGGTGAGAGGACAGTGCTAGTGATGACCAGCAGGGAGTGTGCAACATCAGGGTCTTTGGAGGAAGCTTCAGAGAGTGGACCTGTCAAGGGGCTGTTAGGCCTTCTGAGACCTTGGATCCTTTCTCGGTGGTCGGGACCCAGCACCAGGGGCATTACAGTTGACCTAAGAGGTTGGACTGAAGAAATTAAAGTTCCCAACCCAGTGATTTCAAACTTTGGGGTCATGTGGGTCCTTAAAGTCACGGATCAAGTCATGATCCTCTCCCTCCAGCCCACCCAGGTCAGGGCTAGTTCCTAGCTGGCCCCATCTGAAGGCATCACAGATCCTGTGGTCCTGCGGGCATATGTAGTAAGGTATCCAACATCTGCCCAACATTTCTGTCACATGGTTATATGACTTCAGCCCCTTCCCTGGTGTCCAGTTACCCTTCTGTCCTTTTCAGCAGAAACCTGCCTGCCCGTGTGCCCACCTCTGCTCATAGCTCTGCCCTGAGATGATACCCATCTCCTCTAGCCCACTGGTCGGACACCAGCCACCTGCCTCCTTCAGGTCGGATCCTCTCCGGGATGAACACCCCCATCCTTCACTGGCTCCTCTTCTGTGTGGCTCAGTTCCAGGCACTGAGACCATGTCCACGGATGGCTTTCATGTCTGCTGCTGCCTCCGATTCGATTCACACGGCCCAGGCGGTGCACAGACCGCTGGCCTGTTTCCTCTGACTTGGAGCCTTTTCTCAGGTAGACTGAGATTGTGTCGGTCAGTTTTGGTAGCCGCACCACACTGTTCACCCGTGTCGAGTTCACCCTGCAGGTTCCTTTCTCTCTGAGCTGTGAAGTGCACCTTGTCTCTTTGTAGCTGCCATGAGTTTGTACACGTCTCACCTATTTGCTGTGCTCGGAAGGCCGGGTGCTGGGGCATGAGGCCGGGTGCTGTGATGGGAGTCCGTGGATGATGCACACAGGTGACATGCCCAGCTGCTAACCGAACGACTGGTGGCTGGATTCCATGTAGGGGAGCCTCACAAGAAGAGGCTAGCGACCTCCTTCCAAAGATCAGTCCGTGAAAACCCTGGAAACAAAGCTCTCTCATACACCTGGGGTCGGCTCGACGGCAGGTAGCACTCTCATGCTTTCGAAAGGAGTGTCATGTTTGTTTTAAAAGACAAAGATGCTTGGAATGATTAAAAA